AAATCATCCTGCTACAACACAATCATTATTTTCATTTTGCTGATGTGGTAACCCAGAGTTAAGGGAGATTGAAGAACTTCCTCATGACATACAAAGATGTTAAGTTATAGAGCTGGGACGTGAATCAGCGACTCAAGAGCTAACTGCTTCATCTTAACTCAATGAAATCAGGAACCTTGCCTGTTAATAATTTAAGGCATACTTTAAGGCAGCTCATTTTCTCATTCCAGAACTCAGTTTCGTTATTAATAAAAAAGAAGTGTTTGTCCACTTGAATTTTTGTCCAAGAATTTCTCTGAGGAAATGGCTGGGTCTTTGGGGCAAAACCTTTGGCCATGTTAAAAAAAATTACCCTTTCCAAGTTCATTTTGTATTTATTTCTCATTTTTTGTGACTTTCTGGATCAGCATGGACCCTTCATCATGCAAAAACTAAAATTCAGATCCTTCTACATGGCAGAGAAGAATTTAGATGAGATGGTCAGATCTCTGCTAAGCTCACTGGACTTCCTCTCATTCTTTGTACTGACCATTTCAAACTGCCTGGTGCTCTTTCTGGTCTAACTTGAGATGGCTTCCTTCCTCCACTGGCTGATCTCATGAAAGCCTAGCTCAGCGATCACAGCCTTTGGATAGACTCCTCTGAGCCCCCAAATTCTTGATTAGGTGCCTGCCTTCTAGATCCAATAATACTCTGCATGGGTTCCAATCCACCACTCCTTCACTGACTTAAAGATTGTAAACATCTTTGACTGTGTGTCTCCTGCTCTGCCTTATAAAGGCAGTCAAGACTTCAACCAGTGTATACCTATCTTCAGTGCCTGGCATGCAAAGAATACTCAATAGCACAATAATGGTGGTCGTAGTGAGGGTGGTAGGGGTGGTGATTTTGGTGATGGTTGTTTGTAACATATATCAGGCTCTTAACTATGTAAGTTTTTTCCCCTAAGTTTATCATGTTAGCCATTTTCAAAGCGTTTTGCATGTATTGACTTACCTAAGCCCTACTGTAAGCCGATGAGCTGGGCAATATGCTATCCCCTTTCCTCAGATTTAAGACAAAACAGACTAAGTAGCTTTTTACTTTTTAACTATTTCAGAGAGAAAGATCAAACCAGCACCCCAAAGTATAAAACTGTTCAAATATGGCCTTCCTCCATTCATTTCCAAAGCAGCCAAAAATCTTTATAAACAATCCAGAGTCAAACTAGTTATTTTCCTTCTTTAAACCCTTCAATACCTCCCATACTTACCCTTCCGACAATAATCATAGACATCATTTATGGAGTGCTCACTATAGATTCATTACTCCTTTGTAAGTATAAAACAATACATTGTGGTAGTTTACAGTATGCCCACGTTATAAATAAGACTAGGCAATGGGAACTAAAGTGCAGAAGTGTATCCCAAATTGCCCAGCTTACAAGTGGCTGAGCTGGGACTTGAATCTAAGTAGCCAGTGCTGTAGAGCCTTTAAGTGTACAGTTGCTCCATGCATTGGGGTCATGTTAGGACACTGGTGGGAAGCCAGAAACCTGGATCCTTGCTACTTCTGGTGCCTACTGGGGCCCTGCATTTCAGCCAGAATACTTCAAAGCTCTTACATTGTCTTCAATCCCCATGCCTTTCCTTGGTTTTCTGTTGTACCTATGACCTCTTCTCTATCCAACTCCTACACATTTCTGACACTTCAGTTTCCACTAGGAAGCTTTCTTTGATATCCATCATTCTAGTGAGAACCTTCCTCTGCTTCTATTCAGCTTATATGGCTTTTTGAGACAATCACTGTTGTATTCTTGCGTTCCTGCATTATAATCTCCATTCATTTGTCTTTCCCACTGGTGCTACTAAATGGAAGTTGAGCTGTGTAACACATGCTGGATTCTTGAGCAAGTATTATAGTATCTCCCTTGTCTTCACAACAGCCCTTTTTTTCCCCAAAGGTTTAGAGATGGGAAGTAAATATCCCAAAGGACATAGCGCTAGTCAGGAACAGAGTGAGATCTCAAAGAGGGATGAGAAATGAACATCATCTCGGAGGGCTCTTGGTAGTGGTGTGCTTGCCTAAGGGGAGGGAGGCTTATGGAAAGAGTATGATTGTAATGTGGTGAACCCTTGGTACTTCCAGAAATATTCCACTCACGTGGTGAACTATACAAAGACAACTTTTGAAAGGCACCTCATAAATTGTCGGTACGAAATCTAATCCATAGCCAAGTCCTTTTCCAGCTGCCACATAGGTGCTTAACATAGTCTCTCATTTGTGGGGTCAGTGTTGTAAAACTCTCCTGGAGTCTCAGAAGGGCATGAGGAAGACAGAAGGAGAGAGAGAGAGCCTCTTGGTTAGTCTCATAGGATTTCTGGGAATCTTTAAAGATGCTGGAATATAGACAAAAAAAGTGATTTTATGGGAGACAAACATTTTGACAATGGAGCTGATATATAGTATACCTGGGAAAAGACCTTCCTTTCTCTCTCTAGGACTCAGTTTCCACATTTTTGTTGAGTAGGTCACACCAGATTAGTGGTTCTTATCTGAAAGGACATTTAGCAATGCTTTAAGCCCATTTTATTGTCTTGACTGGTGTGGGGCTGTTAGTTATCACCTGGTAGTTTGAGTCTGTATTCTTGCAGGGTGTTTAGCATGTCCTTTACAATTGTTCTTACAATCTGGACCTAGCCGGGCACTGCTGGCTCACACCTGTAATCCTAGCTACTCAGGAGGCTGAGATCTGAGGATCATGGTTCAAAGCCAGTCCGAGCAGGAAAGTCCTTGAGACTCCGATCTCCAGTAAACCACCAGAAAAATGGAAATGGCTCTGTGGCTCAAGTGGTAGAGCACTAGCCTTGAGCTGAAGAGCTGAGGGACAGCACCCAGGCCCAGAGTTCAAGCTCTATGACTGCCAAAAAAAAGAAGAAGAAGAAAGAAAAGAAACTCTGGACCTAGATCATGCCTAGCTTTAACCACAGCACTATCAGATTTCTCTAGAGATCCTCTAAGTGATAATGTGTTCTGGATAAATCCTTAAAGATGACCTCCATTCAGAATGATTCCTTCCTCAGTTAGTCTACTGCTTAACCTAGTTTCGGAGGTATCATCATAATAATCTTTATCATTATAACTATCATGTAATGGAAGCTGACTATCAGTGTCTGGGCATTTCTTATACATAATCTCCTAACCAGCTTATGAAGATAAGACTGTCCTCACTATTTTAGAGATGGGGAAAAGTGGAACACCAAGAAGTTCTGATTTGGGGACATTTATATTTAGACTTTGATAAAAGAGAATCGCAGAGGACACAATTTCCGAACTTCGTGACTGGATAAAAGCCCACGAGAGAGTGCGAGAGACAAAGGCAGACAGGAGGAAGGACTTGTGAGTGTTCAGCCCCGGACTCAAATGTTCAGCTCCAAAGGTTAACTTGATTTTCGAGTCTAATAATGTCATTTTTCCAAGCTTCACTTGTGTTGCTCACCTATAGTTGTGAAAAGACTGGGATGTTAGAACTATATGTAAAGAGTAAGTGAAAAAAATTAAATGGATGAAAATACACCACCCTGGCAAGCGGGTGACACAGGCACATGGCAAGTGTCAGATTTTAGTTGTCATTTTTTGTTGTGTTTATTTATATATGTATGTGCTGATACTTGGGCATGAACTCAAGGCCTGGGTACTGTCCTTGAGCTTTTGTGTGATCCAGACTGAAGCTTTACCATGTGATTCACAGCCCCATTTTTGGCTTTTTGGTCGCTGATTGGAGATGAGTCTCATAGATTTTCTGTTCCCAGGCTGGCTTTGAACTGAAATATTCATCTCTCAGCCTGCTGAATAGTAGGATCCTTGAAATGAGCCACTGATGCCCAGTTATACTTTTATATATATATATATAATATATATATATAATATATATATAATAATATATATAATATATATATTATTATATATATTATATATATATATTATATATATACATATATAAAATCAATTTCTGTTTGATCAGATTTCCTGTGCTGATAGTTTTCAAACTTTTAAGGGTTGATTCTATTTCTATATGAAAAAACTAGGTCAGAGGTTTTTGCCTCTTGGATTTCTACACTCGCATGCCTGAAGAGGATAGGTCTTCAAGTAGATTTTGAAGAGGTTTTGTTGTTGTTTGTTTATTTTGTGCCAGCCTTTTGGCTTGAACTCAGAGCCTTGGCATTGTCCCTGAGCTCTTTTGCTCAAAGCTAGTGTTCTATCATTTGAGCCACAGCTCCATTTCTGGCTTTCTAGTAGTTAACTAAAGATAAGAGTCTCACAGATTTTTCCTTCACCAAGCTGGCTTCAAACCTCATTCCTTAGGTCTCAGCTTCCTGAATACTAGGATGGCTTTCTTTTTTTTTAATATATATTTTTTATTGTAAAGATACTGTAAAAAGGAGTTATAGTTACATGAGTAAGGTAATGAGTACACTTCCTATTGAGCATTGTTAACCCCTTCTTTGTTTTTCTCCTACCATCCCTTCCCTCCCCACCTCCACCTCCCTAACTTCCTCCCGCCCCCCCCCCCCCCCAACAAAGCTGTAAAGTTTGTTTTCAACGAAGTGTCTTGTTGTTACCCATTGGTACAATGGGTAGACCTGTATCCTTATTTCAGCATTTTGTTATTTCCCTTCCCCTCCCCAAATTAGAAAAATATATATACAAGATGCAGGGCACGGATAATGGCTTTATTTCTTTGGTGGTTAATTAGAGACAAGAATCTCAAGGACTTTCCTGCACAGGTTGGCTTTTTAATTACATTTGCAATCCTCAGATCTCAGCCTCCGGAGTAGTTAGTATTGCTGCTGGCTTGAATAGGTAGTTAACTATACCACAGCTAGGCTGGGAAGGTAGGTAGGACGTCATTGTAGCAAGTTGCATTCTTGGGGGTCTGTTGACATATAGTCACTATTTCTAAGGCTTAATCCCTGCTTTGGACTTCTTCCTTAACTGTTACTGTCTCCTCTGCCTTTCAGGAAGGCCCACCTGATCCTGCGGCGGCTGGAGAGAGTGAGCAGCCACTGTTCCAGCCTCCTGCGGAGCCCCTACATCCAGAGCCGAGTAGACACCGTGCCCTACCTTTTCTGCCGCAGTGAGGAGGTTCGGCCTGCGGGCATGGTGTGGTACAGCATCCTCAAGGACACCAAAATCACATGCGAGGAGAAGATGGTGTCCATGGCCCGAAACACCTATGGGGAATCCAAGGGCCGGTGAGGGAGGGTACTACCCTCCGTGAGCACAGAGACTCTCCGAGGGAGAGCGGTACTCTCCTGGATCCTGGGGCCTGGGTGGGCTAGGGGCAGCTGAGAATGGGCCTGGGAGACGAAGCTTGCCAGCAAGGCCAAAGCAAACTGTTTCTCCTGTGGATAAAGAGGACGGAGAACTTTATAACCAATGGAATTATTCTTTTTTTTCCTCTCTATCTTTATTTTTTTCTAAGATATTATTTGACTCTTATCAAATGTCTCTCCTTTTTAAACATTTTCTTATGAATGGAAGTCAGTGGGGAGGGCAGGGAGCTTTCAGGTAGAGACCAAGTGGCCTTTCCTCTCCTTCTTCCCTTCTGCCACATTCAAATTCCTTCCGATCATGGACCCCTGGAGGAGACCTCTGGAGAGACAGCACCAGGAAGAAAGCCTTGAAGATTGTTGCAGGGAGGAAGCTGGGTCTCTAAAGACTCTCTCTTTTCCTCTCTCCATCTCTTTTCTCTCTCTTTTCCCTCCTTCCTCTCTTCCTCTCTTTCTCTCTTTCTCTCTTTCCCTCTCTTTCTTTCTCTTTCCTTCCCTCTTTCTCTGTCTTTCCCTCCTCCTCCCTCTCTTTCTCCTTTTCCTCTCTCCCTTTTCTTCTTCTCTCTCTCCCTCCCTTCCTTTCATTCCCCCCCACCTCTGACATTATTGAGTTTCCAGGACCTCTGCTTCTTCCCGATACCTGTGGGTCTGCCCAGAGTCCCTGCAGGACTTTCTGTGCATTAAAAATTCTTCTTGTCTCTCTTTCTGCTTGGGTGGTGTTTCTTACCAGCGGAATGATGCAAAGGACTTTGGTTTATTCATTAAGCAAATTTTACTGAGCAGATACAGTGTTCCAGGCGCAGGGCATGCAACTAAAGACAGAGAAATCCCCCTGCCCTTTGGGAACTTGTGATCTCCTAAGCATTTATCAGGGAAACAACCTGTTGGTGTGCCTGCATGGAAGAATACAGGTTCTCTGAACTACCCTTGAGCAACGCTGGAAGAGTCTTGAAGGGCATTCTTGAAAAAGCGATAGCTTGGTTAAAGAATGATGAGGAATAAGCCAGACAAAAAATGGGGCGGGGGGGAATGAACAAAAGAAAGTGTAATTCATTCAAAGGACAAAACACATTTTCATTAAGCAATAGGAATCATGAAGACAGTGGAAGATTGGCATGTAGGGTCAGCCCAAGGCAAAACTTACTAAAACCCTGTCACAAAAACAAGTTCACACTCGTGGTCCCAGCCACTCAGGAGGTAGAGGTAGAAAAACTGTGTTACAAGCCAGCCCAGGCAAAAACTTGAGACTCTCTCTCAACCATAGAACCAAACAAAGGTTTGGGAGTATGGCTCAGTGGAATAGTGTTTGACTGATAGGTACGAAGCTCTGAGTTCAGTCCCCAAAACTGCCTAAAGAAATAAGCAAACAAACAAAAGAAATTACTGCAGAGACTTGTAACACACACATACACACACACACACACACACACACACTCACACACACACACACACACACACACACACACACACAGAGCAAGTAGTTCAGCAGACCATTTGGAGTTTAGACAAGAAGTTTTTCATATCTTAAAGCAGACAGGAGCCACTAAAGGAGTTTGACAAAGGAGTAAAACAGTCAACTTTTTAAGAAAAAAACTAATTCCTGCTGTGAGGAAAAAGATGGATTGGAGATAGGCCAAAGAGAGGGTATCTATTGTCATTTTTCCAGGCGAAAGGTGATGCAAGCTTAGATCCTCAGTCATGGGGAAACGTTCTAATGTTACAGCCCCCTTTTATTTATTTATGTTTGGATAGCTTTACGGAAACACAACTGAAATTTCCTTTTTTAAAAAATTACTTAAATTTGTTTACTTGTTATAAAGATGATATACAGAAGGGTTACAGTTGTATGTCAGTTAGTACATTTCCTGGGGCTGGGAAGGTGGCTCTGTTGTAGAGTTGCTTGCCTTGCGTGCATGAGTACCTGGGTTTGATTCCTCAGCACCACGTAGGCAGAAAAATCTGGAAGTGGCGCTGTAGCTCAAGTGATAGAACACTAGCCTTGAGCTGAAGAGCTGAGAGAAAGCGCCCAGGCCCAGAGTTCAGGCCACAACCGACCGGAAAAAAAAAAGTACATTTCCTTTTGGAAATGTGCTTCCTCATTCTCTCCCTGTTCCCCTCCCATTCCTCACCCACAAGTTGTAGAGTTCATTTTCAACATAGAGTCCAGTGAGTACCACTGCTGCATTTGTTCACCCTTTGTACCTCCATTTCTGTACCTTTACTTACATTCCTGAGGATATATAAAGGAACAAACAGAACAAGAGGAAAGAAAGAGTGAATGAATGAATGAATGAATGAAAGAGAAAGAAAGAAAAAACAGCAAAAGAAAAAACTCGTTTCCATTTCCTGGAGTTCATTTCAATAAATGTTATTTTGGGATTTTTGTTGTTGTTTTTTTGTTGTTGTTGTTTTGTTTTGTTTGAACTCTGGGCCTGGGCGCTGTCCCTCAGCTCTTCAGCTCAAGGCAAGCGCTCTACCACTTGAGCTACAGCGCCGCTTCCAGTTTTCTAGTGGTTTATTGGAGATAGTTTCACGGACTTTCCTGCCTGGGCTGGCTTTGAACCGCGATCCGCAGATCTCAGCCTCCTGAGTAGCTAGGACTACAGGCGTGAGCCACTGGCGCCCGGCAATAAATGTTTTTTTGTATGATCAGAGGCAGAGGCATTGTACCTTTGTGTTCCTCTATTCAGAGTAGCCTCCTTTGGTCTCACTGTATGTGAATGCCTAGATACCTGTATAAGTTATTACGTCCTAGTGCATTTTAGATCTAGCTTTCGTACATTGAAACTTCCTTTTAAATGTCAACTGAACTATTCCCAACGTGTTTGCTGAAGGATAATGAGTACAGTGAAGTTAGGTCAGGTAAGCTAGTTATCTAGAGGACCTAAGATCTAGGTTTATGTATGTCATAATGCAAAGATGACATCTGTTAATGTAAGCAAATTCCTTTTTTGGGGTCAATGTCTGTTCTTCTCCCAGAGTTAGCATCCTTAAAGGAGAATCCTCATTTTACCAAAAATTGAAAACAAAAATAAGAATTACAATTAACTGTATTTGCCACGTTGCCAAGTCTTGATCTGAATGTCTGCCATGTGTACCCTTTTCTTAAGCCTGGGTTGAATCCTTTACTGAGGCAACCCATTTCTACTGGTTTTCATTTTCTTTGTTCAATATGATTTTTAAAAAAATGAGCTCAAAAACTACAAGAGGAACTAGAGATGTGACTCACCAGCCCTGAATGGAAAAAGCCAAGTGCAAACACAAGACACTGATGATTTCAAGCCCCAGTACAAAAAAAATGTCGTTTTCTGTAGCAGGAATCTGCACCTGATCATAGTTGAATCAGATTCCATCAGTGTCATATGGCTTACAGGTGAGTACTTGATATCTTAACTCCAGTTTCTTCATCAACTTAATGGGTCAATGGTAGTGCCACCACACTAGCTTGCTGGCAACTTGAATGAAATGTAGGAGCTGGGATATAGCCAACAAAATGTACAGTGATACATAGTAGGGTTTTTCCTTAAGAGAGACATTGGCTCATGCCTGTAATCTTAGCTACTCAAGAGACTGAGATCTGAGGATTGTGATTTGAAGCCAACCAGGCAGAAAAGTTCATGTTGACTCTTAAGTCCAATTAATCACTAAAAAGCTGGAAGTAGAACTGTGGCTCAAATGGTAGAGCACTATCTTTGAGCAAAAAAGCTCAGGGATTAGTGTCTAGACCCAAGTTCAGCACAGAAAGAGAGAGAGAGAGAGGGAGAGAGAGAATATGCATGATACTATGAATTTTAGAAAGATGACTAGGAAAGATTGGTAGAGGAAAAAGCCTAGCACATTCTGATTCACAGAAAGAACTCATGTCTAACACCTCTGTGAGGTATATCAATTATAAATACTATTTTCAAACTTTAATACAAATGGTATTTAAAGAAAACAAACCTCTAACTCAGAGAAACATGCTCATAATGTTGGAACTTAATGCAATAGCTAGATTGCCAAAAGTATGTAGAATTCCCCCTGCCTTGGTCCCACCCAAGGCTCTCACAAGAAGTGGTAGTGTCTAAGGAGAGCTGACATCAGGAAATCCCCAACTCATTCTTCATCCATAGTCCTCTCTGGTTTCAGCTTGCTTTTCCTGGAACTGTGGGATTTGTTTGTCCTACCCAACCATCATCAGTCTATCAAGAGTAGGGAGGTAGGGAGGGGTGTGTGTGTGTGTGTGTGTGTGTGTGTGTGTGTGTGTGTGCATTTTGCTACGTCAGGGAAGGAGGTTAAACCAATATGTTTGAAGATAGTTCATTGGAAAAAGAAAATTACTTAAAAATTTTTTTTCATTGTGAAAATACTGTACAGAGGGGTTACAGTTCCATGAGCAAGGTAATGAGTACATTTCTTGAGGTGCAAATGTGGCTGTTGAGTCTGGTGCCCTGGACTCTGTGTAATCAGATTGATTCATGTGCTGCCACAGAAAATGTCAGGGGAGCTCAAGTCCCATTGTGCTGGCAAGGATGAGACTTCACATGCTTTCCACCATTAATTAGATAAAGAAGTTGTGACCACACAGAGGTGTATGGCAGGAGGGCACCGGAAATCACCCTTAAGTGACTCCCTTTGACGTGGTCAGGAGCTATCAGCTTTAGGCAGGCTTCAGGAATAAACTACAATAAACTCAGACTATGGCTAATGACTCCCATTTTGTGACTCCTCATCCTATCAGTGGTTCTATGTGATTATATTATGTCACCATCTGTAAACGAGCCATGTGTTGTTTTGGTTAAAATACTTTAAAATGAGGTTTACACAGACTGGTTAATCTGCCCTAAATCCTATAGCTCCTAAGTGATGATGTTGAGATTAAAAGTTGGGCAAAATAATTCCAACTGGTGAACACTGTACTTACGTATCTTAGTTGAGAGCCAACTCCTCCATCAAATATCTGAGTACTGATGTCCAGGTCTGGGGCACTGAGGTGAACAGAACCAACTCTCACCCATAAGGAGCTCCCAGAACTTAGCTAACTAAATGCAGTGTGATAACATCGGACATTCTGGAGGCAAGCCAATCTGATTTTTAATACAAGCTGAGCAGTTTACAGTGGGGAGGGGCCCGGACTCTGAGAAAATTGAAGGGCATACTCTCTAGGTCTTACTAAAAGGCTCAAGTGAACAGACATCAGTT